GCCTCTCTTGCTCAATCCAGACGGCTCCGAAGACGCTCCTGAGCGATGCAGCCGGTGCCCAGAGCTAGCCTTGCTCGAAGAGACGTACGGACCAGACACCGGGATGGACGCGTATCGGTTGCGACAGGCGAATGGTCTAGAGTACAGGTGGCCAAATGCTAGCGGAGAGCTCGACCTTTGACATCCCTTATGGTTTTGCAGTATCGTGTTCCTTTCAGGATTTCTGTGGTCTCCGAAGTGTCTCCGGTATTTGAGATACTGGTATACAATGCCATGTGCAATACAGATGCGTTCCATTTCTACGACAATGTCCTGCTCGTAACAGTAAGAAGGCGATACTCAGAGCTCATCATGCCAGACGTCCCATCCAAGCTGATGACCGCACCCTTCTATATGGCCTTCCTTCCTCCCCGGCCCCGCCAAGCACAACGCCGGACACGTCCCGTCGTCAGTCCCCAGCGCCTCCGCCTCCGCCTCGTCTTGACTGCTACCCTCAGTAGCTTTCGTCTTCACCACAAATGCACGCTCATCTTCGACATCTATCAGCCCCGCCAGCCCATCCTCGCCATCGCCGTCCTCCTCATCTGCGTCATACTCCGGGTCGAATCGCACAATCCGCGCGCCATTACCCCAACTTGTCCGGAGCCGTGCGCGAGTCGCGCACAGTTGTGCGATGCCCTCGCCCCAGCCTCGCACAAACTCCGCCCGGATTGCATCATGCTTGTCCGGGCCAATGGACGCGGGCGGGGTCGTCGCGAGGGACCGAAGTGCCGGCAGGGAAGGTAAGATGCGTATACGTTGCGTGAGGGGCGGGACTCCCGTGGTCGGACCTGAAGGGAGTCTGGGAAGCGCAACGGTCTCCCCTGGCAGACTGTCGCGAAGGGAGATAGTGGCAGTGGCAAGCCCGCGCCGGCCACGTCTCGGGCGGCGAGGCGCAGGCTCCCGCTGGGGTGCAGCATCCTCACCTGCCTGTACAGCAGCCGCTCTGGCCCGGACGGCTTCGATCCAGAGCTTCAGACGCTTCTCGCGCTCCCTGGCGTACTTCACGCCCGCCAATGCCATCATCTTGCCGAGGGCGGCCCAGTGGCCAAGCGCTGCCTCGGATCCCGGCTCATCCGTGACGGCACGCTGTGATACGATGTAGCAGCCGTCGAGAACAAGCGCACGGAGGCGCCCAAAGCGGCCGAGCATGCCCTCGACATCCGACTCGAGGACGTTGCATGTGGACATGTCGAGCAGCTCTACGCGCGGGAGGGCGTTAGGGAGAGCGTAGAGGAAGCGAGCCGCCTGCCGGGCGGGGACACGGAGTCGAAAGTGACGGACGTCCTCGAAGAGCGGAGAGCGGGCGAGTGTGGAGAGGGGGTCGAGTCGGAAGAAGACCAAGGGCTGAGCGAACTTGGTAGGTGCGATCGAGGGGTCTAGAGGATCTTGCACGATGGAAAGCGTAGGGAGCTCGGCTGCTGGCCAACGGGAGAAAGCAAGGAGTGTGGTGTCGAAGTATGCTCCCTTGTGGAACTGGTAGTACGTCGCCTGCTGAACACTGCATACCAGCTCGATTTTTAAGACGCAAAGTATCACAAGACGACTTACTATGGCCTGAATCGAAGTGATATAAACTGCAATCCCTCCTTTGGCTTCTGGAACATTTCCTCCAAGTGCTCCGGAGCGAAGTTAGGCCCAATGAAGAGTGCCAACCCCTTCATATGATGTAGCAGCCCCATGAGGTTGACGACCACATCCGCATCGACGGTCCAGCACTCCAAAGAGAAATGGCGAACACGGTCGGCATCCTCAGGGCTCTTCCGGAGGCGACGGTGGAGTTGGATAACTTGATCACCGTGCGTCAGGCGTACATACTCGAAGACGAGATAGGACGGGATAGCTGAGCGTGGTGCTGCCCTTGTGAGCGAGAGTACGGTCTGCTGTAGGTCGTAGAGTGGTATGTGCGAGAGAATCGCGAAGTAAAGCTCAGGAGGCAAAGACTCGATAGTAGAAACCATGCAGGACAAGTCCGACCTGTGTGGCGGGAAGCGCAGGTTTGGTTATTGCCTCTGTTAGGATGCTTCGCCCCGATGATGAGTCATGTTACATCACCGGAGACGCAGAGAACGCTGAGCGGAAGTGGCTCAACAAGGGAAAATGAAACATCGTCTACTTCTCACCGGCAGCTGGACAAAATACGTATGGCGGGGGCCTGCAGGCCTGGAATTTCGAGAGCGCACCGCGACTTCATATGATTATGTATTACTTATAGACCGTCGGTAGCCTCGTGGTGCCCGAGATGCATTCACTATGTCCGCGCTGAGCGCTGAGCTGCTGACAGTGGGCGCTACAGTATGCACGCTTGCCTACGTACAGGCACGAGCAACCCTCTCAGTTGCAGTGTTGCCCGGTACATGTCACGTTGAGCAACAAGGACAACCGTGCAATCATTATCCAATGTCCAAGCTATTCTTCTCCACATTTGAAGTCACCCGACAAGTGTTCTACTGCAGCTCCCTCACCTATGCCATAGTGAATCTCAAGCCAATCGTGCCGGGCCGTAAGCATTCTCCTAACTCGGAGAGTATGTGAATATGTGCTCAGCTTCACCGTAGATGTTCTGATCATTCCCACACGTCCTGTCCAGCGGCTCTCTGAGTTGAACGCGAAAGAACTTGCGTCTCTCATGTACTCCGTCAACCATGTCGGCAAGGTGATCCAGAAGGCATACGCAGCAGACGGACTGACGATTGCCTGTCAGGTGAGTGCATGCATAATTCGCCCAAATACTAATACAAGGCGGCTTCCGTAGGATGGCAAAGCTGCAGGACAGACTGTCCCACATGTCCACTTCCACCTCTTGCCTCGCAGATTGCTGGGCGACCGCTTCGCCAATAACGACGACATATATCCCGCCATCGAGAAAGCTGAGGGAGGCCTGCCGGAGGAAGTGCGAACTGTGCAAGCAGCAGAGCCGCTCAAGGTTGATGCGGATGAGGATCGCAAACCACGGACTGTAGAAGAGATGGAGAGGGAGGCAGAGTGGCTGCGAGAAATATTTGCGAAATACAAGGATGAAGAACAGCAGGCGGATTAGGCTGCAGATAGTACAGGAAGAACGGGAATATAAGCGTGTATTAGAGTATGGCATTCCCATGAAAGTAGAGTGTAAGTTGGAAGCTACAGTGCATAGAGCGTACGGGGCTACCCATACAGTCAGGGTATCGTTCATCGATTTGTACGGATTGTTGACCAAAGATCACGATTTCTGGTTTGTAGAGCCGGAAGCAGCACCAGCAGGAGGGCCACTTGTTGAGGACGAAGCCGATGAGACGACTTCCGGGAACATATTGTCTTCCCAAGTACCCGGGACCAGAGCGAAGGTTAAAAGCCAAGTCGCAGTCAGAATGACACCGTTCCCTTGATGAGTTTTTGAGAGCTGGAGGCACTGGAGTACACTTCTGCATACGCACCTTTGTCGAACGCCCTGATTGCATCCCAACTCCAAGCCATGAATACACCGAGATAACCTGTATACGGTATAATGCGCCTCAGTAGAGGCATCACAGGTCGCACTTGCATTGGAACAGCTGCCATGGGTATGTGGTCGAGCAGCCACTTGAGAGCAGTGGTCAGCAATGCAGCGCGCTTCGTATTCTCGATCCGCTTGTTGTCGAGGACGCCCAGGACGGGCGGCGGCAGGTAACTACGGTCCATCAGCAGTCGCACGCACCATGAAACAAAAGATAACATACATCCTATACCCCCACCAAAGGATCTCGAACGAGATTTTATCCTTCGACGGGACCCATATCCTCTTCTCCCTGGGTTGCTCAGCGGGTAACTTATGCCCACCGATCCCAAGCCCGCCCGAGGGCCACATGGTCGCCAAACGCTCCCGGAGGATCACCTCTTCCTTCGTCTCCTGCTCATGCTCGTGTATGGTGGTCTGGTCACTGAACATTGAGATAACCTCCGAACGTGCGATCTCGACTTCCGAACTATCGTCCGGCACGAGTGGTGCGTACAACATCACGCTGGCGCTGTCATCGTCATCGCCTGCGCGTCGTCTATCGTGAGGTGCAGATGCCGTCCCCTCTGCCGGCTTCGTAAGTGCTTTGCCTTTCTCGTCTGCATGCGGTGCCGGCGGCGAGGGGGACTTGGATACGCCCGTGGTAGACTTCAACCTGTCGAGCATATCCCATACACTTGGCCGGCCTTTCGCTGCGGAGCCATTCATGACCTGAGGCGAGGTCAAGTAGGACACGAGGCGGGAATCAGCGATCCAAGAAGGCAACGGGGGTTTAGGTGGGTGCGCAGGGTCCGGCTCACTTGCTGCCTCGGCGGCCGGTGTCTGCGGCTGCGACGGTATGGGCAAGGTCGCGAGCAAGGTTTGGATCTTGCGAGCAAGGTACGAAGGCTCCGGGGCGGGCTCTGAGTCTGCGTGCCCATCCAGCTCCGCAGCTTCGGACTCCGAGGTCTCTGGGGCTGCTGTTGATCCAGGCTCTGTGGAGGTGGGAGTGGGAGCAAGGTCCTCTCTGTCTATAAGGATAGTTTCCGGCGACCCAGACCGAACTGGTACATCTGTGGTGATGTTACCTTCAGCGGTCGGAGTGACCGTTGTAGAGGGACCACCATCGACTTGCTGCGTCCAGTGAGGGGGAGGAAACGTGACGGTTTCGTCTGTGTTCCTTCTCCCCAACTGCATGAACCGCTCGAAAGGCGTCAGCTTCGAGTGCGTTCGCTTAGGGGTGCGCGACATCTTTCTGGACGGTCCCGGGGTTAATGCTGACGATATATAGCTCAATGAGCGACCAAGTCTAGAGGTGTCTCTTTGTAGAGGTGTTGCTGGTTTGGAGGTGGGGATGGCTCTTGAGGCCATGGTGCATAAACCCACATCCTCCTGTGGCCACCGCAGTACGGCTATGACGAAAGGCCTGCGCTCGTGTTACTCGCTTGCACTGCACGGCGAATGAGTACAGAAATGATATAAAGGCCTTTAAAATAAGTAAATTACTGCCCGCCTAGCTCAATCGGATAGAGCGTCAGACTCTTACTGAGCTTGAATTGGCGAGCGGAATCTGAAGGCTGCGAGTTCGACCCTCGCGGTGGGCTACTATGTTTTGCTTTTTTGTATCATTTTACTGTTGCTGATATACATATTATCACATCTCTTATGCCCCCGATCAATCGAGTGGAACGACAATTGCTCTGGCTCGAAACGTTGTCTGCCTTGCACAAGCAGTGTCATAGTATAGATTAAGGATACAACCGTACCAGCGCGGCATAAGTTATCGCATAATGAAGGACATATCAAAAATATTATGACGAAACCACACAAGCATACAAGTCACAGTTCTATCTGAGTCCGCCCAGCGGAGCGATCATACGTGAATGACCGCCCAGCCTGCTGAGCAGATTCCTAGGCACACTTCCATTGTGCTCAGCTCCCCACATATCTCGGGCGATCGCGCTCTCCCGGAAACGGACCCCTCCGAGTGGCTCGGACAATGGTGCAGCTCGGCCATCGAGAAGTCTACGATGCGCACACGACCATCTGGAGAGTACAGGAAGTGACCGGCATCTCGCAGCTGGCCGTGAACTATCCCTGCTGCGTGTAGACGATAAATCGCTGACATGCGCCGGCGACTAGATGTGCACAGTCAGCGCGCTGCTTACGCTGGAGAAGGCGAGAGCACTCACTTGAGCTCCTCTCGCTTGAGGGAGTAAGAGTTGTTACACCACTCGAGAACAAGACAGCCGACCTCTTCGTTATGAAATTCGCCTGCGTAGAGGCCGTAGAAACGGGGCACGACGTCAGCTTGCAGGTGCTTGAGCTTGCCTCTGTACAGGGAAGCTTCGTAGCGCAGCTTCTCCACTCCTAGCGACCCTCGTACCCACTTTACGGCGACCTCGACAGGGCTGGTACGGCTACGAGCCACGGGCGACTGATACGTTTCAAATGTGGCGTGGTAGACCCGATTGACGTTCAGGGCCTCCTGTGTGGGCCCCGCGGGCGTAGCGTCTGCGCAGAAATTCCATTTTGAGTCCAGCTTCACGTAGGCGTCGGGGGACTTCTTCGACGCAGAACAAAGACGGACTGCGGTAGAGTCATCGAAAATCACGTCAAGAGTCGATCCAGCGGTCATGGCGTCCGTTAGGGGGGCAATGAGCAAAGGGCAGGTGTTGATGACGGACAGCGGGACTGCGGTAGCCCTTATAACCATGGATACACATGTCGGCCATGCTAGCAAGTGTCATTGTGGTCTCTCTTTGGGCGCGACACAAAGCGCCATTGCCTTTCTTCGACATGAGAGTGGCCCATCAAAGGTCAAAGCGCGTCGCCCACGACTCATAAGTGGCTCAAAGACCGAAGCGTGAGCACGCACCTTTTTCGATCTCCTGAAACAGCTAAGTGCAATGCCTGAGAACATTGCACTTGCATTGTCAGTGACCGTCCTTCACAGTCCTTCACACACCAAACGGGTCTCCATAGTTCGTTCGTATGCCGGCTGTGGCATCCTCGTACTTATTCGCGGTCACGTGTGTGGCGTGGACGACCGCCGGGCACGCGTAGACCACGACTCGAGGTGCCACCGACAACAGAGGCTGTACGGCAAAACAAGTGAGCTGGAGTGGCATTGAAGCATCGGTAGGCCCTGGTGTACATGGTCCTGTGTATTAATACACTTATGAGTCCACGAACAAATACAACATCCATTATGCGGAGACGATCGCGAAACGTCGTACTGTGGCAGCGGTAAACTCGTTCCCCTTCACTCTAGCCCCGTCTTCCATTCTGAGTCAACGACTTGGATTCCCCTGCGGGCAAGCCTTCGCCGCCACTCCACCATCTCTCCCTGCGTCCCTGCTTGCTGCGCACGGACAGACATACCTGGTCGAAGCCACCGCACGTCGCGCGCCCTCACAATCCTGAGCGCTGGCATCTTTGGCAGCAAGCTCTCGAGCACTGCCAGGAACTCGGGATTAGGACGGGAGATCGAGAGTATGTGTAGAGGGTGGTCAGGGTCCGTCTTCTTGAGGACAAGCACTGGCAAGGGGGTCTCGAGGGATAGATGCGAGAGGTTGGGACAGGTTCGGAGGATATCCACAGGGGAAGGGAGAAGCATCGCCGGCCAGGTCTTTATCGTGAAGAAGTGAAGCGACGTCAGAAGCTGACCGTGTGCATGAATGAACTGGGGGACAAGGGACGCCGGGACGTAACCGGGGTCATACGGGGTGATTGTCAAGTGTCGCAGAGCGGGAAGGCGAGCGTGGAGGAGGGCATTCATCAACGGTGAGTATGGCATCGACAGCATTACGAGCTTGCGTAGATGAGGCAGCTCAAGCGGCGTCGTCGAAGGAGAGCTATCCCACTCTCCCGGTGCATCGAAATCGGTGACGTCTATGCCCGTGCCGACAATGGTGAGCTCTTCGAGGTTGACGCATGCACGCACGAGCCCCGCGAGGTGATCATCGGCCGTGTGCACGGTGCACTTCAGCCGGAGCCCCTTCAAGACGCGCAAATGGGCGATCTCATAGCGGCCGCCGAGTGCCATCGTAGCGCGCCGGCTTAGTGCAAGCGATGGGTTGAGCAGACAGCGCTTGAGGAAGGGTAGGAGGGGAAAGAGCGTCGTGAGGAGAGTATCCGCGCACAGCAGGTCGGAAGCCAGACAAATGTCTATCTCCCTCAGGTCGACATGCTGCACCCACCGGCCAGGCGTCGAGTACGGGATGCGGCGGATGGAGTCCCACTTCTTGTCACACAGACATAAGTGATGGGTGAACTTCTCTAGGGCCGATAAGGAGTTCAGCACGACGTGTGCAAAGAATAGCGGCAGTGCGACATCCTGCAAGCGTATAGCATCAGCGTCCGTTTGCACTATTACTGATGGTCCGGACATGGGCAAAGAGACAAAGCCAGATGCACTACTTACATGGAGGTCCTTCGACAGCAGTAGCAAGTCTCGTTTCAATCCACCACGCTTAGCGTTAGGCTTCTCCATCTCGAGATTGTAGTGATCGAAGGCATAGCCTAAAATCTTCGTCCAGACTTCGCCTGGTAATGGTATCATCTCGCGCCTGTAGGGAAGTAGTGGCAGCAAAGCAAAGCTGCCTGCAGTCCGCGAGAGAGGCCGTGGGCGAAGCAGAATGGTAGCGGAGGTAGCACTGTTCGAGGACATCAGAGCGAGGGTATTTAGACGACCTGCGGCTGGCGTTGGCAAGGGTGGTATCGCGAAGACATGACCGGTGAAGAAGAACAAGGATCTGCCAGACTGGATGAGGATGGCGGCGGCTCTAATCGGAATTCGGTCATATCGCGAATCCTTGATGCCCTCTGCTTACTTGGGGCCACGGCTCTCCGCACTCACGATGACACAACTCTATTGACTACCGTGTCGTGACGCGTGCTTCCGCGCCACACGCGCGTATCGCCGTCTTTCGCGGGTTTACTTCTCCAGACTGAATGCTCAACGCAAAAGTCGATCAAGACTTCCCATGTCAGTAAGCATATCGGGCGGAACAGTCTGTCGCGCGAATAAAGATACCAAACTTCACGCCGACCAAGTTCTACCCGGTCGCACTTAGGTGTGCGACGAGTTGGTCCCTCACCGAAGGATACAAGCACCCTACTCAGCTGTACTAGAGTTCGCTGGCAGAGTTAGGCGGTACTGGCTACAATGCTACGTCTTTGAACCCAGAACGTCACCCATCTCCTCCAGGAATTTCGCATAATCATCCTTCGACTTAGCCGCCGCACCCTTGACAGCGGAGTCCGTACTCTTTGCAGCGGGAACGCTGACAGCCGACCCCAGGTTCTGCTTCAAGGTACTCATCAAATCGGGTCGAGCAGCGGTCGGGGCTTCTGGCTCCTCTGAGCCTGCTTTCTGCTTGAGTGATGGAGCGGCGTTTATCTTCGACGCGGGCCCCGCCGCAGCCTTCTTGCGCTTGAGAGCAGTTGGCACGAAGGCCGTCGCCTCTTTCTTAAAATCGCGCAGCTGCGGAGCAGCCTCGACCGTCGCTGCGGCTGCCGGAGCAGGAGGCTGACCAGAGGTGGACAACGCAACGCCACCAGAGAGAGGATGTGACTGGCCAAGGTGAGGCGGGAAGGCCTGGTTAGGTTGGGCACTCCTTGCCGAGCGATGCGCCTGGTAGGTCTGATGCGGGACAGATGACAGAGGATCCTGTATGGAAGCAAAAGATTGCGTCCGCCTCGGGAAGAAGCCAGGAGGAGGTGGAGGCATCTGGGAAAACCCGGGAGGAGGATGAGGGAGTACGCCGGATGCGACTGGAGGAAACGGAGGAGGGAATGGGGGCTGCATAGCTACCTGAGTGGGCATAGGGAGTGGCGGTGACATATGCGGCCCTCCAGGAGGTGGCGGTGGAGGATATAAGGACGATGGCAATGGCGGAGGGGAGGGAAAGCCTGGTGGAGGTCCCATTGCAGCTGGGAACCCCAGCGGTGGAGGAGATGCGCCAAACGCAGGTTGCATAGGTATGGGGGGCAATGGCGGCGGCGGCGTTTCTTCAACGAGTGAGACGAGGATATTCGACCATACTCTCTTACTGACCTTGAATGGACCCGTATTCCGGCGGTGGAGGACCCTCGGGCATGGGAATATCATCATCGCTGTCCTCCTCATCGGCACCAGGGGCAGGACCCTCCGGCATGACTATGTCATCGTCGTCATCTGGCGGTCAAATCAATATGCAGACGTCTTATGCGCACGTAGAATCGCACCTGCGTCTTCTTCTACATCACTTGCAACTTCGTCTGGCCGTAGCGCTGAAGGGTTCATGAACACCTATCCCATCCATCGTACTCATTGATACTCACGTCTCTCGACGTACGGCATTCCAGGAGGCGGCACCCCATATGGATTCAGTACAGGGTCATAATAGACACTCCTCTCTGGGTGCCGTGGTAGTCCATGCTTGTTGAAGAGGTTTCTACTTTTCGGAAGGGGTTCAGCATCCCCTTTCTCTTCACCGCTGTTCTGCGGTTTTCGTGCCTTAAACACAAGCTTCCGATGTTCCGGATGCTCCGCAACGTATTCTTCTTTCTTCTTGCTAATTTTCTCTAGCTCAGTCTTGAGCTCTGCAAGCCGCACTTT